CGGACGGACGGAGCGACAGACAGGCGGACGGACGGACGGACGGAGCGACAGACAGGCGGACGGAGCGACAGACAGGCGGACGGACTGAGCACAGATGGTCGGAGTTATGTTTTGCCGTCATTCGATTTTTCGGTATTAAGGTCGCACAAAACACGGAATATGGCTCTACGTCTTAGATGATTTCCTGCCTAAATCTCGCAACTGGATTTATCCACTTTTTCGTTACCAGGACTTTGCAATTAATTGTTTTTCAGTCGCAATTTCGCTTTTTTTCGCAAACCATTACAGAAGTTTCTCCCAACTCAGTAGCGAGAAAGTAAAAACTAGACGTTTTCTCCGGTCATTGCAATGGAATTTTGTTATCCACAGTCATTTATATGCGATTGCGTATATACAATGAGTTTCGTTCACAAATCTTTGTCTACGCTCACATACGTAGTATTTCCACGAAGCCTAACTATAGTGTGAGAATTTTTTTTAGAGTAGCGAACTTTCCTACATATACAGATATGATAGACTGCACAGTGCACACATGTTCCAATTTTGTCTCCGGAGGAAATTTATTAGAACGATACAGAAATCGAAAAATGTGCAAATATGCGATTTTCATCAAGTGTTAACCTACTTGGAATATAACAGTTCAAACGTCATCAGTAGTCAACAGGTTCCACACCCAATGCGGTACCGCGCTGTAACCTGGCATTGCAGCCAACCTCTGTACGAGGAGAAATAATCAACACACGTTCCTTGTGAATCGTCGAAGTTAACGGAGCGTCATTTCTAACAATTGTGTTGGTGAAGCGAAAAGATGAGTCAATGTTTTGACGTTCGTCAAAAATAACGAACGGCAAGACAGAGCAGACTAGTGTAGGCGAAATCGACAGTTTATCCCATAATCGAAACATAGCAGAACTTGAGGCCTGCGGTAGCAAATATTAGTAGTTTTGAAATGGCACACGTAAATACTGAAGCGACTTTCTCTCTCGTTGCATGAAGTGTCGTAAGCAATGAACGCAGAGTGAGAGTATAAAGACGTAACAAAAAGGTATGAGAAATTGCACATTAATATAATCTTTAGTTATATTATTTAATATATTGTATTGGGGCGGGCTTCGAAGAGGATGGTACCACTCCTCGGACGGACTATCATCTGAAGCTTATCAAACGACTCTTCAAAAGATCAGATCAATCGCACATAACTTTAAAAAAGAAACCCCGCGCAGAGCAATCTACAACCAGGAAACAAAGCTTGGTCAGCTTATCCAAGTTTTAAAAAATATACTCTCAGAAATCAACATTTCTTTCTGTCTTGGAAATACTCATCTTTTGGGAAGAGTGAGGGGAGGATTTCGAAAACATAGAGAGGATCTCAATTAACGGTACTGAGGTCTTTACCCATCTTGAAGTCCAACAAAGAGACACCCTTTGGAGTGCAGAGTTGGCACAGGTTCATACCAGGAGTTTCTCGCAAGATGACATCGTGGTACTCCCATGCACCCTGGAGTTCAGTCAAGTATGGTCCTAGCCGATCGATAGGATTTGGGAAAGAGCCCGAACGCCACTCTATAAGATGCCCAAAAACAAGTGTTCAGGACCACGTAGTACATACCTTCCCGCAGTCACCCGGACTCGCCGGGGATCGCACATCGAGAAGAGACGAAGTCTATCCTTAAAGTTCTAGTGTTAAGCATGTACAACTTCCAGAACACACATTTCCACCGACACGCTTCACTAAGCACAGCAAACACATGGATGGGCGTCACAGAAGGCGGATGAAGAAAATACTGTCATGAAAGGGTGAAGGCATATAAAATAGCATGAGGATCAAAGACTGAGAAAGAATACATGGGAGCTTTATTTTCATCGTTCGTGAAGACCTGGATCAACCGACATCGTCGGGCACTCACATTTTAAGTCAAAATTGTTGTACAGGTACGAAAGTCCAACAAGTCTTTGATCCTATACCGGTACTTGGTCTTTATCTTCGTCCAACTATGATCAGGTTACTCCATAATTAAATGCCAATTAAGGTGCTAATCTTATGGCGAAAAAAAAAACAAACAAACTACTATACATATTTCAGCAAAAAAAGTCATACTTACTTGTATCCAGTGAGAATATTGAGGAGCGTACTTTTTCCCGCACCAGATGGTCCCATGATAGCTGTCAGCTCTCCAGATCTCAATTGCCCACTTACACTCTTCAGGATCGTCTTCTCTTCTACAACAAAGAGAATGCTTTTTTAGTTTATAGGCAGATGCTTACATTCGAAAAAGGACAGTCGTATAATTATTTTCTTCACGTAAGATTTCTCGACAGCACTGATCAAAAACTTGGAGCCTGAAGTTGTTCAATTACTTGCTCTTCTGAGTCAATTTAATTCAGGGTCAAGGATATTCCCAAATTTTCCTGGTTAACAAGAATCAATTACAATATTTTTGTATGTTTATAAGAGTAAAATTGAATTATTCAAGCTATAATAAAAAAAGTTTCATTTCAAATAATTAATCAATTAAGATGAACACACGCTTCCGTTATATATATTATGCCTTGTTTTCGAATCTGGTTAATACGCGAATTAGCTGGTTTATGTTCACGCTATTCAAAATGGGAGGATTGAGTAGACACACCTAATACTAGTTCGTAATTTAGCCGGAAATCATGTGGTTATAAAAAAAGCAAATGTCTCCAACAAAAAACTCTACGGGCGTAAACGAATCCAAAGTAGTGGTGCTACATCAGCACACACTTAATCGCACTATTTCTAAATTCTCAATTTTCGAAACTTCGTAGAGTCTAACGAAAATGAGCCTATGCCATTCTTTTAAGCGTTGCGTGTTCCATCCGTGAAAAATATAATTAAGAAACTAGTGGTGATTACACAGCACGTACTTTATCCCACATATCATAAAGTTTTCTTTGAGTATGTTGTAGGTATTCAGCCACTAAAAACTCCCCACCCACCCTAGGGTTGCCTATCTACCAGTTTATTCTTTTTCCCATTGTAATTCCTTAGTAATGATGTACACCAGGTTTTGCAAAATGACATTGTTCCCGAGTTGAACAGTTAAGTTGGAACACGAAGAAATAAATATATATAGAAATATATATATATATATATATATATATATATATATAATATTATATACAATAATGTTCGACAATAGGTACATTCATGTGGCAATGTTTACTTCGATGAGATGAGTAATAGTATTATGTGTAATAATTATTACAGGTTGATTATAATCTGACAAAGATGTGTATTTTTGCACACATTGTTGAGAATTGAAAAAGTGCGTTTTTTCGAAAATATTTAGTTATCTTGGTAACAGGCCTCGAAAAAAGTTTTATACAAAAGTTGTAGGAAATTTTATCCTCTTTAAAAGTGATTTGAATAATTTTTTACAGGATTTAGGGTTAATGAGCTAAAAACGGAAACAAGTGAGATTTTTTTTTCGGGCCTTCGGTTTTTCGAACCTCCCGAAGTTAGTACAGGGTCTGGGAGATCGAAAACGGGCGTTTTAACTAGTGCCTGGGAACATACAACATACTCAAAGAAAAGTATTTATGACCTTTTTGCAGGTAACTCCCCCTTTTTCAGTACCTCCTGACTAGACCAAAAAGGGGCATTTTTGGGCAACTTCTTACAAGTACAATATTGAAGATAAAGACATCTGTTCCATAAATACCTATATTGAAATAAGGTCATATGAAATATTTAGAAAATATGAGTAGTTTTCGCGAAATTTTGGCCAAATAAGCGGTTTTTAATGTTTTAAAATATTGTTTTCCCTCTAAAAGGCATCAATTTTTCCATTAAATTTTCTCTTCATATGTATTAAGGGTCGCAAAAAAAATTGGGTTATTCCCATTTTCGGCGAACTCTCCGTACTTTCGGAACTTGCAACAAGTTTACATTTCAAAACTACAAAATTACAGAGAATTCTGCCTTAGACAAAGTTTATTCCAAGAAAATAAGTTATTTAGAAAAGGTCATATACAGTTTCTTGAAAATATTAGTAGTTTTCGTATAATTTAGGCTTGAAAGGCAATTTACAATAAAAAACATTTCCTCAAAAAACACTCTTCAATTTCCCCCCCAAGGATAGAAGGGACGCTTAAATGGGGCGGTCTTTTTTCTGTTGAAATCTCTAAATTTTAGAATAGTAAAATTTGGAAATAATGCGAGAAAGTACGTGCTGTTGTAGTATCTCTAGTTTTTTTTTCTTATCTTCTCTCTACTCTTAATTTTGTTAAGAAGTGTACATGTTTTTACTTTAAATTATTAAATAACGTTTTCCAATGGCAGGTGAATTTCAATTTGGTCTAGCTATGTCTTTGGTGGTTTATGTGCAAGCAACCGAGTACGCCACGTTCATATTTACTATATGTTCCAAAAGAAATTGAACACGCGAAAACCTGTCAACAGGCAGCAATGACGCATAGTTTCCGGTTACTGAATTATTTCCGCGTTGTTTAAAATATAATTCGATTTTTTACGTCAAGTACTTGAATCTAGGTAGAATCATTGCAATTTTTCATACAGTACTTCATACTTTGCCATTTTAATTTAAAAAAAGACAGGAAAACAAATTACCTTAAAATATGAGAAATACGATTAACTAGTGGCCTACAGCAGCAAAAATGCCGAACAAAAAACCACACAAAATGTTTTTGTTTTTTTCAAAAAGCACTACGCACACTGCTCAAGAGCAACAAATGAAATTCGCTAGTATAATATTACAACATAATAAATAATTTAACAAAAACCGTCTTCTCGAATACAGCAATAACACTTACGTATCATCTGTGTTGTAAGCAATGGCGCACTGAATATGAGAATTCAGTCAGTATGCTCAGTATGAGAATTTGTGGAATAATACAATTAAATACTTGCATCTTACAGTAAAAGTTGTAACTGTTTCGTTGTTTGTGGAAACTTCCCATATTTCTGGGTATCGAAAGAAGCCATAGGCACCTCTCAAAAACCCGAAGGCTGCATTGTTCTTTCAATTTGAGCGTGCATTGAAAATTAGAAATATCGACGTATTTAGATTTTTCTGAAGTTCTTGAGTATCTCCCGAAACTATCGACACCTCTCACATGGCCGGAGGCTGCATAGTTTTCTATAAATTTCTGCGTGCATTGGAAATTAGACTTGCAGATTAACAAATTTAAATTCATGAGACGACTAAATATGAGAACTATGACCTACTTCGATCATAGTCTATACAACACAAGTGTGTTTTAGTGCTCCAAAAATGCTTTCAACCTCGAATAAAACGTTCGTGGACTTCAACCCGACCTTGAGTACTCTTGCTCAACAGACGAGATGTGTCAGCTGCTGTGGAGAAAGAGGTCAACAGAAAACATTTTTGCCTCCAACACACAATACCATCAGGTCATTGTCTGATATGACTGAGAATAGTCAATATGCTCTGATTAAAGGCGTTCAGAAACAATGAGAGTTGAAATAATCAGAAAACAAATGAAGGTAACTATCGTTTTCAACTGCACCAGAAACACGATAATTGAATTAAAGAGATAACAATCTAAGTTTCATTTTTACGTCCACACAAACCAAATATATTGAAAATCAAAAATGTATGACAATTTGAAAATGTACGAGTACTTCGTTGGTAGATTAGGATTAATATAACTGTTCGATTCCCCTCTCTTTTCGGCAGGCGAAGATTGGAATTGGTTGTTTTCAAGTCTGCTCTCAAAGCAATTTTTAATGCCGCATTTTACTTCGGTTATTATTCCCAAATGGAAAACTGCAATCTGTCCTTCTCATTCATTGAAACGAAGTGAAGAAATTGGCTAACCCCTAAGGGGAGTGGCGTCGTATTTCCAATCTCTCGTTTTAGGGCGACGCTGCGCTTCGCGAGCTCAATTTTCATGATGATGCTTCGGCCTACGCGGTTTACACAAAATATCCTTGAACCTGGCCAAAACCTATTTTTCACGTATTTTACGACAAAGAACGTTTTTCATGAATTAAAACGCGCCATTCTGAATTTGAACATCGAACAGAATGCCCTCATTTCCGCCAATAATTCTTCGCTTTTGTCAATGATCTCGCGACGTCGGAGTCGATTCGTTACGATAAGGGAAAAAGTACTCCACTCTTTTTGTATCAACGTGCAAACCCCGAAAATATCCAAAATTGTCGAAAGTTACGTATAGACCTAGCATATGTGCACCTTACACAACCTCTCAGAACAATTTGACAAGCTGGACCTAGTCACTAAACCAGTATCTTTAAAAATTACAGGCAATCCTGATAAAACAATTCGGGAGGTAGCAATCACATACCACCAATTACCAAGAATAACAGAATTCATAAGAAATTTGCAATAAAGGTAACATACAACGCCACCCAAGCCGAATTTGGAACATGGACATGATATTCAAAGAAATGCAGAGTTGCCAATGTATCTAAAACATATTATTAGTCACCTGAGGCCAAGATGCTACAAACCAAGAATAAATGCAAGACACACTGAAATTTATACAATGAAACCACATGTTCGACGAAGGTCTTCCGTCCCCACTTTGCTTTAACATATTTTATACTACGCTGAGCTACTGACCCAGAAAGTGTGTTGTTTGTGAGGCACTTCTCTCGTCACGTACGCATATTAGCATAGCAAGATAATCTACATGGCAATTAAACTCACAAAAAGGATGGAAAATTGGAAAGAATATTAAAGCCACAAAAGTCAAGGGCAAATATTTCCTCCTTCAGAAAGCTAAAAATGCCATAGCTGCTGCAATTAAATAAGAATAGCCAACTTAAATATCTATGAATTGGATCGAAAATCAATATGGAAAAACGTATTAACACAATAGAAATAACTTAAAGCAAGGCGAGGCAAATAGCTTCCACCAAAATTGTATCCTCTAATGACGCATGAAATACGACAATAGTCGTTCTAATGCAGCGACTTGTGAGGTGTTCATTACGTTATAAGAAACTTCACTGAATATCTGCATGGGTAGGGCGGCAGAGAGAGCGTGGGACAGGGAGGGAGACTGAGAAAGGGGGAGGGGTGGTGAAGCGGGGCAGGTGAGAGGGGAAAATGAGGGAGGGGAGAGAAGCTAGGGTTAGGAGGGGAGAGCTAGGGTTAGAGGGTTGAGAGCGTTAGGGTTAGGAGGGGGAGGGTTGAGACGCTAAGGATTAGGAGGGGGAGGGTGAGAAGCTAGGCATTAGGAGG